AGAAATGTACTTGGCTGTCTGTCTGTCTGCTGCCAGTTTGGAACCGGGACTACCTTGTGTGAGAAATTATTCTGCCACCTTTAATGAAGAATGTGTGTTAATTCCCTTGAGAGTTAAAAGGAATATGCAGACTTCACTGGTGAAACTCTTCAACCTTATCACAGGCTTTGTAGTGAGCTGTATCAGACTGAAAGGAGGGTATCTGCATTTTTACCAGTCCTTTAATTAAAAATAAATGTTAGCTGAATTGCATAAAAGAATTTTTGAATGTAATTATGTGACCTTTTTAAAATATGATGGGGGGTTCAATGCCTTAAATAATTAAGGTAATTTTACTGAGACCTGTGGCTAGCCCCACATTGTACTTTTATACATGTATCTGCACTCTGTATTTTGAGACATCATGAACTGCACACTAATGTAAAAATGTAAAATATTTCTAGATTTAAAATAAATCACTGTACAATTTTACTTCTTGTAGTGCATCTTGGGAGTCTTCTTTCTGCCATTTTGCTGAATGTGTGAAAGATGCTGTGACCCATCAGCACCCTAAAGGATGTTCTCTGTTCCTTCTGTCACCATGCATCCAGTGGGAGAGGTAACAACACGTCCTCAGATCTACAGTTTCTCTCTTTCAAGCCGGACCTGTATCTTACAACACAGTATGGACTTACTCAGCTGTGCTGCCTTCAGCTTCAAAAGAGAAAAAAATGGCCTTGTGCTTCATACAATTATAAAATTACTTTTTAAAGGTGTTAATAGAAATTAATTTCCTTGCACTTACCCTGCATCTGCAGTTATGTGCTGGATCACGTTTAAAACAAGATGCTTACCTTGAAGAGACTAGTAGTACTAGAGACAATGTACTAGTACTACTGCTACTGCATGCGTTCAGTTTGCAAATTGCAAACCAATGTCTTCAGGAAAACAGTCCTTCAAACTGAGCAGCATTCAGTGACAGCCTGTTTATCAGCCACTCTCCTATCAACCTAGGACATGAAGAATCGCAGCAGGGAGGGACTACTGTACCTTCAACCCTGCCTTACTTGCCAGCCTACTTCTTGCAATGAAGATTTGGAGCAACATGCACCTGGATAGTCGAGAAGGGTTTCTGTGTTTGTGGCAGACGCAAGCCCCTTCTCCTTGGTACTTACCTAAAGTAGTAAAAGTTAAGTGAATGTGGGCACAGGCTGAAGAGAGGTATGCCCAGTCAGGATTCTAGGTTGGGGGCAGGAGATGGAGAAGGTTTTATTTTGAAATCAACATGACAGTTTCCAAGCTTTTAAGACCACCATCTTCTAGCAGCTTGAGCCAGACATCAGATATTTTAATATTTTAAATTTTTACTTCTTTCTAGCACAGACAGTACACAAGTTGGCTGAACCTCTAATTAAAAACATAGATGTTTTAGGCCAATGGTAACAATCGTGCAACAAAAATAAATCACAGAAGACTGTGGATTTCATCAGCAGGTTAGAAAACTAGAGTTGTCTTTACTGACATCTGACTTCAGCTGTGCCAATACCTGCTTTAAGCAATGTTAATAGTTCAGCAGTAAAGAACATTACATGCATCTCTCTCCCTAAATAACATTTTCTTCTGCTTGCACTAGCAAAGGGAAGAATTAAAGAGGCATCTGATTAGGCAAATCCAGAACCATCCCACAAAAACCACAGCTATGGACAGTCAGTCCTACTAAGTGAAGAAACAGGCTGAACATGCAATAGAAGCTTTCCTTACAGTAAAGCACCTGACTCATCTCTCCTTTTCCTCCTGTGCTGCAGTCAAGTTCCCAGATTTCTAATCTCCCAGGAGAAATCCACAATCCGTTCAACTCAAGACTTATACACCAACTGAGAAGCCACATAAGTATCAGTGAGGCAACATGTCCTGAATTATATTGCAACTGGACATTCTGTATTCTGGGTCCCCTGCTCCAATATACAACAACTGTGCTGGGTTACTCAAAGAGAAGATCTTCATCCTTCTCTTCTGCTAAGAGATTGGCTGGTTCATGTTCCCCACCGGCAGCCCTTCGCAGCTCCCGTTCTTTCTCAGATTTTTCTTTCAATACTTTTTTCTTTTCCTGGATCTTCTTTAACCTGTAAAAAGAAATGTGGTTTATCTGTAAAAGCAACACGATGTTTTCATAAAACAGGCTAGCAACAAAGATGCCATGTAATGTGGACGTGATAAAGCTGCCTGGAGAAGTTCCCCAGGAAAATAAAATCCTGTAACAAATGGCAAAATGCTTTTATCACTAGCTGCTGCCATTGAAAACCTTCATCTCTACAAATGAACGCATTTCTTCATCCAAACTATTATTAGATTCTTGACCTTAAGCACTGCATTATACTACTCCGCTTGTCTTTAAGTTAATTCTCCTTTAATTCATTTCAAGTTTGAAATTTTTGCTTCAGGTTGCCCAGAACACTGACCTCTATGGCAGAGATGTCCTTAAAGCAGAACACCTCAGCGTAGTATATCACATCATTCCCTCTGGAGGAATGATAACGACTGCTATGTACAACCTAGTGGTAGGGATTCATTTGTAACTTTGAGATAAGTAATTGCAGATCACCAGTTGCCCAGCTCCGGAAACTCAATGTGCAGTAAGAATCAGGTTATGTTTAACAGTGTTCACTGCCAGATTTGGTGAATAGTTCTTATAAGGCCCTTCTGAGGAATGGTCTATTTGAGAAAGAGACCGGTCTAGTCTTGGTTTAGATATTTACCTGTAGAATTCCTCTCGTTCTCGTTCATCCAGTTCTGTGATGATATAAGAAAGAGTACGCTCGATCCTAGGAATAATGACTAAAAAATATAAATAAGGAAGTTGTTGGACTGCTGTTATATTAGCCAGGAAGTTATCTAATGCAGTGCACAGATGGTTATTTAAAGTCAATCTAGTAATTCTTTTGGCTAGGGGAAATTTATGTGTTGTTCATGGAAGACCATAGTATTTCAT